TGTAGAGGGTGGTACCACGGGATCTGCTCACTGTGAAGTCAGGAGGAGGACTGATGGTTTCCCCGTTTTTATATACCAAATTTCCCTACTTGCTGCCAATACACCATTTTAGAGTAGATCTAAGTTAGAAACACATTCACTAAGTTCTGTGGTCATCAGAACATGTCAGATACATCTGCATACGTCAATAGGTGTTGTTACACACAGGTTCAAAGCACATTACTCATAAGTTATGGATACGCTATACATTATCTCAATGTATTTGAACTTATAAGTAACTTACAATTAACGTGTGTGAACGTGTGTCAATTATCTCATAACTTACCTACAACTTGCAGGACGTATAAGCATACACTTACATATGCCGAGAAATTTTCAGCATGCTCAAAATTTTTCAAAGACCTTGCTGTATGTTGACGTATGCCAATGTGCTTCGGGTGCTCATAAATTATATAAAACCTATAACTTATCTGAGCATATTTGCCAAATTTTTCATACGTCAGCATACGCTGGCTAAATCGTCAAGGCGTGACAGTCCCTTAAGATAAGTGCTTTACACAACTTTCAGAGATCAGAGCGCGGTTTTGTGTTTCAAGGTAATACTAACAACAACTAGAAATGTAGATAAAAAACTCTTTATAATAAGACGAAGTGGGCACAGAAACAAACCACTTTTAGGCAAAATGTTTGGTACCTCAAGTCTGTTCTTTGACAAATTCAGCCAATATCTGACTCCCCCGAGAACCAGACACAGGTAAAGGGATGGAGATTGGCGAAGAGTTCCTGCGGCTATGGTGGAGATGGAGCTAAAATGGTGGAATGATGGAACAGGAAGTGTGCTTTTTTAATGAATGCTCAGAGGATAATTGGTCCACAGACACAGGCAGTGGTGGAGTGACAGCGACAGATAATACTACTGCTTTTAATATGACCCTTGGCTGAGAGGGTCGCAGCGAAGTGGAGGCTGTCGAGAGAATTATAAAAAGGACGTGTTTTATTTTACAAACATTTATCAAAGATTTAGTAGAAAATGTGCAAAGGGATTGGACTGTGGACAACTGGGAGAAGCGTGAGGATATATGAGATTGGTTTAAACTTGACAGGGACCCCGGACACAGGAGTCTAATTGGGAGGAGGGCCCCAAACGAGGACCACCAGAGCTCCCATAATGCATTAGTCTTACTGGATTTACATTCAGTATGATGTGTGCTCAGGCATATTTGAGCTGGTGAGTGACAGAATTCCTTTTATAGCATCTACAGTATAATGAGACGCATATTTATGGCTTAAGGGCCCATGTTAACCTATTTTCTGATTTGTTATTATGTTCTTTCCTCATCACAAGACCTGGAGTTTTGTTTTGTGTCATTCACACATGTTTAACACACAGATCCTGCATAATGAGGCTGAGTTCTCCTCTCAAACAGAAAACACTCTGTTCCACCTTGTGATGCTGTGGTAATACAGGAAGTGCTCCACTACGTTTTTAAACTCCATACACTTTCTCTAGAATCATGTGGATGATTTCAGCTCTGGAATTGTCAGTCTCTACTAAAAAAGGTATAAGTTTGGTAGTTAAGCTGAAAGCTGATAATGTAGACTGGCAAGAGTCTATTTTGAGTCTATTTCAAATAAGGTTTACCTTATAAAGTAAATTTTACTGTTCCTGGAGATCAGGGGTCTCCAACCTTTTTCCTCTGGTGTGCTACTCATTTTTAGCCTTATTCATCAGCCGGTTTCACTTGGTGGAAATGGTGTGACTTCGCAGCATTAGGATTCGTTCATTCAACGGTAAGCAGGTACTTTTTTTATTTAACCAATCGCTACCATTTGGTCATGACATATGTAATGCTCCGAATCCTGTAGGAAGAAGGGCAATAACGTCTTTCCCCTTGCCAACACTGAATGTCTGTCTTCGTCTACATCCATCTCGACCACTTTGTTTACTGTTGTGCTGTACCACAAAAGGGACCCAGACAGGCGCTTGAGTTTTACGACACGGCTTCACAGCTCCTCACTGATTGGCCAGTGCGCAGTCTACAACTTCCAGAGTTCTTGCAAACTGTCTAGTGTATTCTGATTCCTGACCTACACTGGAGAGAAATGAAATTGAGCGGAGGCACTAGGTGATGCCAGCCTGGCTTAGTAATTTTAGCGGTGGCAAGAAATTAAGCAAATATAAGAGTCTTGCTGTTGTGCTTATATTTACCTTAGATAGGGCACAGTTAGATAGAAATTTACAATGGTAATTAATCAAATTTGAGTTACTATATTTATAAATCAGACCCTTAGCAAGCTTCTTGGAAGGGGGTGGAGAACTACTGATAGCACTTGAGCTTCAGGTTCTCTGCATTTCACCCATTCTTCAGTACCACTGGGGCAACCTGTCAGGAGCAGTACCCAGGGCCCATCTGCAGATCTTGAGCAAGGCTTGGTCAGGACAACTGGAGGATTTGTTCTGTGGTGCATGTTTTGAGTTGAAAACCAGAGTGGCCTGTTGCTGTGAAGCCTGAGTGTAGCCCCTCAGCCACTGTGCCTAGCGCCGTGCAGGCTGATACAATAACACAGAAGTACTTGTCTAATAACCTGAAAACAGCTCCAGATCACAGCTGGCATCCAGGGAAAATCAGACTTATTGTGGATTCTTTGTGTAGACCTGCTCCTCCCTCTGGACCCGAGCTGGAGGTCAGATTTTAATCACTTAAGTCTTGTATGAATCCCAAACCACAGCCCACACTCAGTTAGCATAAACCCTGTATTATGTTACGCTTTCCCTTTCACTCAATGTCACTTTTACAATTTCATACATTATTCATTCACTCCACACTCTTGGTGCTGGTGTACAGGAGCTGCATTCACAAACCTGGCATGGTAGGTCTAACCCAAATGTCTTGCCCAAGGACCCACTGACAATATGTATGCAGTGCTCGTAGCAGGGATCAAATCACCAACCTTTGTATGTGTTGGGTGTGTGACTCTCAACACTGATCCAAAGCCACCCATAAAGTATCGTTTTTTAGGCTGAAAATACACTTGATCTTTATTTGTAGGTGTGACTTTTAGTCCAAAAGAGACCACATGCTTGCTTGTGGTGAACAGATCCAAAAAGTTCAGATCTCTCTCTGAGTAACCCTTAAATGTTTGCCTGTGCAATCAGTCCCATCTACATTCTGTCTGAATCCAGAAGGAACTGGAACTGGACCACAGAGGGTGAAAATCCTCTGTCCAAACTTGAGACGATCCAGCCACAGCTGCTAATTTGTATCATGTGTCTCTTGTCTAGTAAACGTTTTGTCAAAGCGTGTGGTTCTGACTGGTCTGGTAACTTATATGGTGCACTGGGTTTCTTTTCTTTAGCAGTTATAAATCGGATAACTTGGATATTGCCAATTATAACTACTATAACTATTTTCTTGTTTTAATGATAATGATTGTTTAGAAAGATAAACAACAACAGTTTATATTCCAATACTACACACTGCCATCTTTCCTTTAAAATCCAACTGGTTTAAAGCATTATGGGTGGTTATTATCTACTTGCCCCTGACCTTTTGCCGAATTTCATTTCACGCTGCAGTTCTCCTGTCCAGCTTTGGGATGAGCAAATCTCAAGGTGTTGTACCTGATTTTTACTGTCTTAAAAACTTGAAAATCAAAACTAGTTCATTTGAAACAGTTTTTAGTCCTCACTTACCTTAATGCATTCAGAAGATCCTAATCATTCACTGCAATGAGTTTATAAGCGCTTTTCACAACTTTCAGAAACCACTATGGAGTTTTACTGACAACAAAACAACAACTTTCTAATTTGAGCAAATAATACACAGTGGACCTATTTTGACCTCAAGAGCTGCTTATATGATATATCAAATCCGAATCCGATTTTTTCACCTGTATGCAACCTGTATCTGATCTTTTAATGAAGTGAATGACACAGATCCAATTTTTTTAAACGCGACCCAGGCCACTTGGGCTACGTTCAAGCTGCAGGGCTCATTTCTGATTTTATTTTATTTTTTGCAAGGTCGTTCATATCTCCAATTAAATGCAACTTGTATATGATCTCGAGCGTGAACATTAAACACCCCGAAAGTGTCCCGCATGTCCATTGGAGGACACGACAATGTCACACACAGCGAGCGTACTCATTGTTTACGGAAGTAGTCTAAACACTGGGCTTGTCTTCCAAAAAACAGTCCAGTTCTTGTCTTCAGTTCTAAAATGGACAGCTTACACGTCCACGGCTACTTCATTTGTTTGAGTCTTTCGCCTCCTTGTATTTGGCTCGCAGGCTTTAACATTGGAGCCTGGACCATCTATAGCTGTGCTCTGTCATTTCTTTGGCAATCATTTCAAAAACAGCTCTGATAAGACCCCTCCAGTTTGGCCTGAATACAGCAATCCCCCCAAATATTAAATCACTAACCCCGCTTTCCCTCCCCTCCGAGCCTGACATGTAGGTGGGATGAATGTGACCTGGCCATTCAGACTGAAGTAGCATGTCAAAAGATCAGATATATATTGGTTTTAAGGGCACATATCCAAGTGGCCTGGGTTGCATTTGAAAAAATTGGGTCTGTATCCTTCAGACTGTCATTAAAAGATACAGGTCGCACAGGGGCAAAAAAAAACATCAGATTTGGGTCACTTCAGGCTGCAGTCTGAACGTAGCCTTGGATATGTGCTCCTAAAACCGATACATATCCGATCTTTTGACATGCGACTTCAGTCTGAACGGCCAGGTTGCATTCATCCCACCTACACGTCATCAACAAGCCATAAACGTCACTATTCTGAGCTGAAGTAGGTGAAAAGTGGAAGAAAGCCACAACCATGACAGATGACAATGCAAGAGAAGTTTTAGGCTCTGAAGGTTCGGAGTCTAGTCAATGGAGGGAACGCGAGATTAACTTTAAGTCCTGCAGTCTGTGAACGTAGTCAAAGTTTGCTCAAATATATGGAGAAAAATATTTAACGTATTTTTATTTCTTTGTTTCTAGGTCAACGGGAAGTGAAGATTCCAACAAAATGTATATAGCACTTCTACGATCCATCTAAAACACCCCCAAACATCTCCTTATCTCAACCTTAAACTCCGTCTCCATCCAAACAACAATGTAACCGCCATCCTACATTCTACCACATTACCCAGAACCCCCTTGTGCTACAAACAGACTACAAACATGACGATGGAACAGTGGCCCTTCCTCACCAGCCCGCCCAACATCTCCTTCCCCGAATCGCTGATGTACGACGGCTACTTCCCGGACAACGATTCGGACTACAACATGACGGAGCAGGCCAACATGCACCAAGACACCACCAGCTCGGTCGTGATCACGCTCATCTACTTCGTGGTGTGCATCATCGGTCTCTGCGGCAACGCTCTGGTCATCTACGTGATCCTGCGCTACGCCAAGATGAAAACGGTCACCAACATCTACATCCTGAACCTGGCAGTGGCGGACGTGTTGTGTATGATGAGTCTGCCGTTCATCGCGCTGCAGTTAGCTTTGGTGCACTGGCCCTTCGGAGAGGCACTGTGCAGGATCATCATGAGTGTGGGTGAGTGGGAATGCTTGGTGTTGTTGTTATGAATAATCACTGGTGGATGAAGTACTCCATTTTGTTAGTAAGAGTACAGATACAAAGGTAAAAAGTTACTCAAGTAAAAGCAAAAGTATCTCATGAAAACATCTACTTAAGTAAAATTATTAAAGTACCTCTCTAAAAGGTACTTTAAGAGTAAAAAGTAAGTATTTTCAGAGATTTTTTTAACAATTAAAAGATGAAATATAGAGATTTTTGAAAAAGAATTTAGCATATTTTAAGTGATTGAACTGATTTTTTAATTTTCCTAGCTGCCTTTGTGTACTAAATGTGTGGAAAAAAAATAAGGTCTCCACCATTTCATCAGGTCACAAACCATTAAAAAAAGGTTATATTTTTACTTTTCAGTCCAGATTTAACTAGTGGAGTAGCGTGGAGTGCGTTCTCAGACGAAGTAAAGTAACAGTAAAAAGTATCCACTGTAAAATGCACTTAAGTAAAGTACAGATAACTAAAATTTGTTCTTAAATATTGTACTTTTACTTTTGTACTTTGTTACCTTCCACCACTGTGCATAATTAACCTTTTTGCCGTGTAATAATGATTTTCCGTCACTTGGCAAATTCAAAATGATATCTCTGGGCTTTTTATACAGATTTTATACAGAGGGATGTCCAGTTTTTTTGGCTCCCGAACGAATCAGATTTTTAATTAAATATTTCTTATTCTCAATACTGATCTGATTTAATACAATTATTACCTGATAAAAAGGCCTACTTAAAAATAGCTTCATAAAATGTCTTAAACTCCTCCACAGCACAGCAGCTTCAGCACATAGTGACACAGGCATTAGATGATGTTTAGTATCTGTTTCTAATGGCAGTTTTTTTTTTTTTAACCATATTCATGTTTGAGCCCTGTAAAAAAGACAAGAAGCCTGCCTCAAGCACATGGCTACTTATGTAAATAAGTTTACATAATAGGTTCTGCTCCCCCACCAATTTATCTGAAGCTCCATTTTCACCATGAAGACATCACAGAGGTAAAACAAACAGTATCTCCATCATGAATAATGTTTTTAGCTGTTTTAGAGTCTCCTCAGTGTGTTTTTAAGCTGCTCTGAGCGTTAGCAGAGGCAGGCCGATACTGATAACAGCAATGGATCGGAACATCCTTACAGACTGACATCAATCTGGTCACCACGTCCTCTGTTGCATCTCAAGCCAAAACGTAATCATCCAGTCAGATGTATTCTTTTTTTGTGGCACATGTGAAACAAAGGAGCTCACTGGTTACTTATCATTTACAAACAAAAAACAAATTTCTCTCAGCTCACGTTAAGAGGGTTTAGTGTTGCGCTCAAGGATTCTGCTGAAACCTGCCAGGTTTTTCAGCTCCCTATGATTTTCTTTTCTTTATTTTTTCTGATACGGATGGACCATTTCCGTGTTTGGCTAGTCCATATGTCAGTCATTCCCATCTAAAAAGACATGTGTATTCTGGATCCCAGGCAAAATTTCCCTTAGTTTACTCAGAGTTGTATTCTGAGAAATTCATGGCCTCAACACTCTTTTTGTTTTTCACTTTCCTGGTAAACCATTTCTTCCTACTTTGAATGCATGAGGGTCTGGAACAGGATATGGTTGAGGTGCACTTTACTGTCCCCGCAGAGAAATTCATCCTTTGACCCATCCTTTCATTTGACCCATGCTTTACTGCCAGATCCAGACTATCTTAGCTGGAGGACTTTACCTAAATCCTAATAATAACAATACATTAGCACTTTTCTTGGCACTCAAAAACGTTTCACACAGTTCAGAACAGACAAAACCCAAATGAAGAACCAGATAAAAATGAGACGCAAAAATCTATAGGAAGAACTATTGGTTAGTTTTGGGGAGAAATGTGTAAACTTCACACATAAAGGCCTGGGCAATCCAGATTTGAAAAGGAAATCAATGTTTCCGCTTCTCTTATTGGGCCGTTTTAGATCATAACTGCAGATTACGATGAACAAAATGTAAAAGAATGATCCACTTAAAGGTTCGCTATGTAACTTTTGTCATTGCTCTGCTTGGAATGTTCCACAGTATGACATTAAACAGCTCTACCTTACATTTATTCAATTACAGGTGGTTTTATAGCTCAAAAATACCTAGAAAAACATTGTGGCTGTGAGCAGGGTCGCTTCTCCACAGATCTGACCTGTAACTTGGTCTGGTTTGGTCTCCATGAAGACAGAAAGGTTTAATGCCATACTGTGAAACATTCGAGACAAAGGAATAACATCTCCATGGAGAAAAGCATTTGACAGACACTCCACCAGAAAAGTTATGCAATGCACCTTTAAGTTATAATTCTATACTAAGCACTAGGGCTCAACCAATATGGATTTTTTTTTTTTTTTTTTTTTTTTTTTTTTTTGGAGCTAATATGATACCGATAAAACAGCCTTTGGAGGTGCTGATAGCCAATATAACTGCCAATATATTTAGTGGTGTCAAAATGTACTGTGAATCTTCAACTGAATATAAAACTTAGGTGTGGCTCTATTGGATTTTAAGTTGGGTTTGTTTAGGCTACATTTATTGTTGTTCTGCCTCTTTACGTCATATTTTAACATAGTACATTGGCCTATTGGCTTTTGTGCATAACATTCTAGCCAGTAAACAAAGTAAAAACTACCTCTATCAGCCATTAGCAGTTAATGCGTGAGCACCACGGTAATTAATCATGTGCATAAATACATTGACACCTCTATTCACAGTTCATTTACATATTAGTGCTGGTCCAGTAACGTGTGTACAGGCACAACAGTCCCTTTACAGTAGGCCAGTCCTTCTCACATAGTGAGGCGATGCCAGGGGGGGCCGTGTGACCTTTTTTTTTGCTGTACTAGAATAAAGTGTAATTGTACATCCACTACAGTAGTTGGCAGTGACGCTCTCATTGTCAGAGTGTGCACAGAGAGTATTAGTGCTATAGTGTTGGGTTTTTTGCACAGAGGAAACACAGCACACACAGCACAGAGCAGGAGATATGAAGTGCAGAGAACAAACTGTATATAAAGCATATGTAGCATTTGACGTCATTGTGACTACAGTGGGAAAGGAGGAAAGACCACTGTGTTTACTGTGTCTAAAAATGTTGGCAGCGGACAGCTTGAAGCCAAATAAATTACAGCGTCACTTAAAGACATTACACCGCAATCACGCTGATACGACACTTGAGTTTTTTCAGCCAAAACGTGTCGACTATTGCCAACAATCATCCCGCTTTGTGAATGCTGCCCTAGTAAACCAGCCGAGCTCTGTTAGCATCATATAAGGTGTTGTACCAAACAGCAGAGGAGCTGATACTGCTGCAGCATTAGACATGGTTTCTGTCATGCAGGATGATGCAACACAGACATCATCAATAAAGACGTGGAGGACACAGGAGTGGACCACCTCATGACGCGGACTATGATGAATGCAGTGTGAAACATGGATGAACACATGCTGCATGTGTCCCGGGAGTCAAGACTAAAAGCTAAAATGTTTGCTTCTCGTATGTAGGCCAATGTAAGAAAACAGGCTGTTTATGTGTGAGCATTTAAAGCCGAACACCTCAGTGCTGTCGTAAAGCGGATGCTGAAATCGCACTGGTGTAAACAAGAGCACGTAAGTCCATGATGTGACTCTTGGGGTGTGTTCAGGGACAGTACAGCGTCACAGACAAATTACTCTGCAGATAAATATTGATGAGGTGCTATTAGAACATTAACTGTCTGTAAAATTAATTAAATGGACACAATATAGAGAGTCTAAGGTTATGTTTACACTGAAACGAATCATCATATGTCTGTATTGGAAACGATTTGCGTCCAAAACACTTTGTTTCTGTGTTCGCAATCCTTCCCTATCCACACAGCTTTGTGCCCCAAGGCGGGCAACTTCTGTCAGACTTAAAAAGGACATGACTATATGTGTTCCTTCTGTGACAGAGGGGTGTTCTGCTAATGGTGAGTCTGTTCTGTGCAAGTAGTTCTAGCTTCACTTTTTCCCGTTTGTCTATGGTTTGTTTAAACTGTTTTCCGCAATAGTGTCACGTGACTGATGTCATGAGCCCAGCGAATCAGGAAGGTGCAAGTCACAGTGACGTGGTCCAATAAGGATGACAACTAGAACTCCTACGTCAGTGTATCAGTGTTTTCAGGCATCCACACAGTGCCAGTTCATATCTGTACTCAGATGAATTCATGGGAGCTGGGGGCACCAAATCGTTCCATCTCTGGAGCTGTTTCCATCGGATTAGTGTGGACGAACACTGCATCTGCAACAAAAATGAATATGTACTAGTGTGGATGGAGCCTAAGCTTTCTAACAAGGTATAAAATGCCCACATTGATATGTCTCCAAGTGCACATATCAATCAATATATCAGTCAGGCCCTACTAAGCACCCGTAGAAAGCATTACAAGCCAGCATTAGATATTGAGGACTAACTACTGTGTAAATGTGCCTCTCGTCCAAGACTAAATAGGTTCTAAACCACAGTTAGACGATTAATATCAACATGAGTAAACCAGAATACAGCACAAACCAGCACAAACTGGTTCTTTTCTAAAGGGTACAGAAGAGGACTCGAGTTCAGAGGTTCAAAAGTCAGACAAAACCAGGTCTAATACAGTTGTAAACACCAAATCTTAAAAGTCCTATATTACACAAAATTTACTAAGCTTTAAAGATGTTGGAATGTTCTCAGTGTCAAAACTTACCAGGAGTTGTTTTGTTTCATTCACACAGTAATCCAGTTTGAGTAAGAGACAAAAGTACAGTTCTGGCGTCACAGTAAAGATAACAACAACTTACATGCTTTACAGTAAAGAGCTGCTTTTAAAATATACTGTATCTGTACTGGGCCACAACACATTTTACTGAAATACATGGAAAAAACGCAGATACAGGTCCTTTAAACATCTTCAAAATACAGTGGTAGCACATATTGATAGTTTCCCTGTTGGCTCCTTTATTTTCAGGCAATTTCTCCAGGCAAATGACACACATTACCCCTGTTTGAAATATAATGGTCCCTCTCCTGGTACTATTTTCTTGACGCAATCATTTAAAGTAGCACGGAAAGCACAGGCAAGTCCATAGGAAGTCTGTCCGCTTCACAAATTGCCCAACCTAATGGACTGTGATAGCTCAAAATGATGGTTACGGAGATAAATACATGAAAAATACTGCCTTTGATATAAATGGCTGTTTTTACTGGTTCGGTAACACTAGGTTATGTCATATTATTACATGTATCAAATGGAAATCTGTGTTTTCAGTTTTTTAAAGAAGACATATTGTGCTTTTACTTGTGTAGTTATATCCTGTGGATCATTATGTGAGATTTGGTACATTTTCAATCACAATATTGATCTAAAACTGTCTAACTGTCTGTGTTATTATTTCTGGCTGCTCAGGTTTACTCAATAAATTCCCTCTCTTTCATAAACTTAAAATAATCCAGTTTAATTGTGATTTTAGATGAAAATCAATGAGTTATTTCTGAAGAAAATGAAGCAAAACTGTTTTACAACCCCAGTTTTGAAAGAGCAGATGAATTGTGCTACTTATCCAAGCTCTTACTGAGAAGTTTACTCACCTCAAATTTTCATTTTCACAGCACAATTTTCTTTTAATATTTTCTGGTTTGAATGAGGTTATGGTGAACAGAATTAAGTCCACATTTGGCTACACTCAATACTTATCCTCCTAGCAAAGTAAGCACAGAGCAGTGGACATGTACCAGCGGTGGTGAAAATCAAACCAATGAGATCTCTAATACAGGATTATAAAGATTACTCAAACGTGCATGAATAACTCCAAATACAACTTTGACAGGGGAAATGAGAAGGAATAACAACTATAACAGGACCAAAATGTCTGAAAAGTTCATTTTGCAGAATAGATCTCGTTTAAGACGATGCAGGCTTAATGTTGAATCTGATCAGATACACCAGTGCCTGTTTACATGCATACCAAAAGTCTGATCATTATCTGATTTCTGATGTGTGTAATTGGATTTCTTTCTGATTGCCCACACTTGTGCACAATTTGATAGAAAGTGATGCAAAAAAGTTTAAAGACACTATACACTATTTTTGACCATGTATTTGAGCAAAATGTGTCTTGCCCCAGTACAGATATATTGTAGAAGCTGCTCTTGAGAGGAAAATAAGTCCACTGTGTGCTGCTGGCACTTAGGAGATGTGTGTTAGCATGCTAGTTGATGTCAGCTTTACAGTCACAGCAAAATACTGCTCTGAGAGTTTGGAAAAGCACTTGTAAACTGTTTAAAATAACAGTTCAGAATTTTGGACATAGGACATTATTTCCTAGTGAGCCAGAGTGTTGGAGACGTGTGGAGCCACTTTTTAAATTATTCCATCCAGTCCTTGTATTTTCAGAAGTCGCTAGTACTAAGCTAGTGCATGTCATTGGCCATAGTTATCCTACCAATAAAAACAGTCTTACCCACTCCACAAAACACCCGAAGCAAATCTATTATTACACCAGACTGTCGATGCGAATGTCTGTGTTGATAGAATAATTTTAGAAGTATAACCAACCTTGCATTTGAAGGATTTATGTCTGAGCAGCAGCAGCGAGTTGTACTTCCTGATAGAAAGCTTGGCAGCAGCGGACTGATATATGAGAAAATAGTCCCTCAACATGTGACGATTCATGCAATGCAAGGTTAGTTTTATTTCAGACATTATTCTACCAACACAGACCTTTACATCGACAGTCTGGCGTAGTAATAGATTTTCTTCGGGTGCTTTGTGGAGTGGGTAAGACTGTTTTTAGTGGCAGGCTAACTATGGCCATTGACAAGCACTAGCCTAGCACCAGCGACCTCTGCAAATACAAGGACTGGATGCAATATTTTAAAAAAGTGTCTCCACACGTCTCCAACACTCTGGCTCACTAGGAAATGAGGTCCTATGTCCAAAATTTAAAACTGTCCCTTTAAAATTAACTAGTTCTGTTTTTCACATTTTTAAGACAGTAAAAATCTGATAACATTTACATTTAAATAACTATGCACTTCATTTCATAGTTTGAAAATCAGGTATCCAAATGTGGACTTCATTCTGTTCGCTGCATCTTCAGTCAAACCAGAAAATATAAAAAGAAAACTTCTCCATGACGAATTTCAAATTTGTGCCATGAAAATGAATACAGTTTGAGGTGAGTAAACTTCTCACTAAGATCTTCAATAAGCAGCACAATTTCAAACTGGGTTTGTAAAAGAGTTTTGCGTCATTTTCTTCATCTGTCGTGACTCATCGCTTTTCAGTTGAAAGTTAAAAACTGGCTGATTTTAAGGACATGTTTGTGAAACAGTTGAGAGGAAACTTAGATTCAGATGACATTTAATGTGAGTCCTGTAAATGTGAAATCTAAATACGCTGTAAGTATGATCATTTATTTCGTACTTATTCTGAGATGTCCATGCGTGGGCCCTTGTACTGTGCATTCTCCTTCTGATAAAAGGGAGTCAAACTGCAGTCAAATCAACCATTCTGCAAAAAGTCTGGACGAGTCTGTATGTCAAACCCACAAATGAAAAAATAACCCAAAATGTGACTTTTATATTAATTGCAAGTCTCTAAATCTCATTTTTAGCTTCAGCTTTGATTGCTCATTCTGCTGTCTGTCAGATCATCTCCAGGGACACCTGCTATACCTTTTCTTATATTTACCCCATAGACTCTAAATGGACACAACTAACCTGATAGCAGTCGCGTTCCAATTAGAACGTAAGCAGGGGCGCGCTTCCGGCTCTATCAAATCTGGTTCCATTTCACCTTGTGTTGAAACAATGTCACCCTTTACTCCCTCTGTAACTGTTGCTGTGACGCTCCTTACTGTGGCCTTAAAATGTTTGTATTAACCCGCTCTACATGATCCTGTTGTTTGTATTTCACTATTTTGTCCATACATCAATTATTATTCCTAAAATGAAACTTAGCTCCAAATTCGCCACTATAACTGCTGACCTCGTGAGCTCTATTTGACCAAAACTGAACACTATGGGTGACATCACACTCTCTTAGTCCACTTCTGTATACAGTCTTTGATTTACTCCAAAGAATTCAGGTGAGATTTGAAACCTGACTTTCCTCTGTGTAGAGCTTGTGCCCACTTGAAATAAAAAGTGATCAAACAGGGGCCAAAACTACAGAACCTCAGCTGCACAAAGGGTCCAGCCATTTTTGTGTGCTCCCAAGGGTGCAGGTTCAGTGTAAATTGACTCATTTTAGTGAGACGTTTTTGGAAAAATAGACCGAAATGGTAAGAGGTTTTAAAGTCACTTCAAACTTTCTTACACTTTTGGTACCTTTAACCTTCACTACCAAATCCCCCCATTTGGTATTCCACTCATTACAGCTCCAATCAATTTTCAGTTTGCATCAAAGACCCGTCTACTCCACCACTTTCAGACCTGCTCAAATCTCACCATTAAACTTTTAGAATGCAAATCAGATATTCTCTCATTTCACAGTGGGCCATCATATCTCCCGGCGCGTGACTTTTAATTAATGCAACTGATGCGTACTTCCTTCCCGTGTCTAATCCTTTACTCCTACCTCCCTCTTCTAGATTCTCTCAATCAGTTCACCAGTATCTTCTGCCTGATGGTGATGAGCATTGATCGCTACCTGGCAGTGGTCCACCCCATAAAGTCAACAAAATGGAGGAAGCCACGCGTTGCTAAGCTGATAAACCTGACCGTGTGGGGCGTCTCTCTCCTGGTGATCCTGCCCACCATGATCTTCAGCGGGCTGGATAACGTTCCTGTGTGTGGGATCGTCTGGCCAGAGCCTCAAGATGTCTACTACACGGCCTTCATCGTCTACACGTTCTTCATCGGGTTCTTCATGCCCCTGGTGGTGATCTGTATGTGCTACCTGCTCATCATCATCAAGGTGAGGGGAACAGTGCAGAGACAGTACAGGTGTGGAAAGGGGCTCATTCAAAAGTAGTCGTGCCATAATGCATTTTTTCTTATTGAGACTTAGGCTACGTTCAGACTGCAGAACTTAATGCTCAATTCAGCTTTTTTTGGTGAAATACATTTTTTTTTTGTGAGGTCGTTCACATTTCCAATTAAATGCGACTTGTATGCGATCTCCAGTGTGAACTTTAAATGCCCAAAAGTGTCCCGCATGTTTTGTGAAGTAGCCTAAAGGCTGAGTTTGTCTCCCAAAATACGGTCCAGTTCTTCGTAAAATGGACAGGTTACACGTCCACGGCCACTTCGTTTCTTGTAGTCTTTAGTCTCCTTCAGTTTGGCTCACAGGCTCTTTATTTTTCATTGACATTGGAGCCAGGACTGCCTGTACCGCGCTCGGCCATTTCTTTGGCAATCATTTCAAAAATCGCCTGGTTCCGATAAGACCCCTCCAATTTGGCCTGAATACAGCGATCACCCCAAATATTAATTAACCACTAACCTCACATTCCCTCCATCCTCCAGCCTGACATGTAGGTGAGATGAATGTGACCTGGCCGTTCAGACTGAAGTCGCATGTCAAAAAATCGAATATGTAGTGGGTTTAGGAGCACGTATCCAAGTGGCCTGGGTCGCATTTGAAAAAAATCAGATCTGTGTCGTTCAGACTGTCATTAAAAGATCAGATACAGATTTGGGTCACTTCAGGCTGCAGTCTGAACATAGCCATAAACTGACACTGCAAAAAAGCTTGGCCAAAATATAAGATAAAAACACTTAAATCTATTAGAGAATTACTTAAAAGTAGTGAAATGATTTGTCCATGCAGCAAGGTCATTTTACTTGAGAAGTTATCTTAAAATAAACGATGAGAATGAAGCAGTCCCAGAACTAGTAAGTAGATAATAAATCTGAAAACAAGATGAATAAGCTGATATAAGTTTTAAAATCTTGGCCAGATCAGAGAAACTTGCAGTGCGTTTGAATAATTTCAGCCCCGGAATTGTCCTTTTCTACTAAACAAAGAGTAAAAGGTCACTGTTAACTTGAAAATGACTGCTTCATGACATCACAAGGTTGAACAGAATATTTGGATCTCTGGAGATGTAGACAGACTAATAATGCAGGATTACTCAACCATGTGTGAATGAAACAAAGCACCACTCCCAGTATGTTTTTGATGAAGTAACAGCATTCTGACAAGCTTTAAAGCTCACAAGAACACATTTTGTGAAGTATAGTGAACTAAGTAGCATCTACAAACACTAAATTTTCAGATCTTTTATTTGAAGCCACAGTATGTAACTTTTTAGGAAATGGAAATGTTGTTCCTTTGGTTATAATCTTCTAGCGAGGCTAGCGCCATTTAGTGCCTCCACTAAATTTAATTTCCCTCCAGCGACTCAGGTCAGGAATCTGAATATACTAGACGGTTCGCAAAAACCCCAGAAGTGCGAGTTTGGGCACTGGCCAATCATTGAAGAGCCATACATTCTGTGTTGGCAACAATTCCTGAGATCAAGGATTTAAATCCAGAACAAAGAGAATGTTTGGTGAATTTTATCAAGGAGAAAGACGTTATTGTCCTTCTTTCTACGGGATTTGGGAAAAGCTTAATATACCAGTTAGCGTAGTTAGCGCTGTTAGCAGCACACTACATACGTCACGACCAAATAGCAGCGATCGGTTAAATGAAAAAAAAATACCTGCCTACTGTCGAGCAAACAAATTCTAATGCGGTCAGACGGTGAAACCGGCTGATGAATCAGGCTAATAATCTTCCACAGTATGGCATAAAACTATAAAACTAAATCTAGAATGTTCCAAAGGTATGTATTTTACTTTACTATTTCCATGGAATCATGCACGTGATGTGCCACTTTCAAAAAGTTATTGATGGTTTTCAGATTCTAGAATGTGATTGATGCCAAACTCCCAGATGGGGGCTATACAATTTTTCCTATTGAGTACAGTGTACTTTGCCATGAAATATACAAAATGTAAATGCACAAATGTTGAACCTGATCAACAAAAATCTGAATTCCAACTATAATAATTTTAGCTGCCCCCCATGTGTATTAAATAATATAGGCCTATAGAATGTTATGTCATCTGAAACCATACAATACTTTGTCATACCATGTTATACTGTCCCCTCATCAGAAACATGGAGATATACTTTTGCTTTATTTGCACTTGTGTCATTAATACATGAATCTAAAGTCATCTTCTCATAGATATAAATGACACATTGTACAGAAGGATTTGTTGATCTAATTTCAAGCCAGTTTTATCCCCCAAAAAGTTTTTAAGTAACATTATTAAGTAAGAAGATTAATACATTTTCAGTAAGACTTTGTTTATTCAAATATGAAATAATCTAAAATTATGTGTTACCAAAACAAACTGAGAAATATAACTTTAACTTTAACTTTTGAACATTAACTGCCATTTAACCTAGGGTCTATTCATATTTCTAATGTATATGTCCCAAGTATGTGCAATTTTGGACATTTTTTAAGTAACTGTATGTATGCTAAATGCACTCACTAGAAGTTTCAACAGTACACATTCAGCAGCAATACTTGTAATTGTAAACATGTTCAGCCACTGTAGTTTACTAGTTTAGAACTAATTTTCAGTGCACTTATTCCACCTCTAACTTGCAGTAGTGTGATGGATGCAGCTGACCTTCTTGAGTATGGAGTGATCATTGGAAAACTATAGGTCATGTTGCCTAGAGACAGAAACACACACTCATTAGAATGCTGTTTACCATTGGTGTTGATTGTTGCATATGACAGAAGAGAGGAGTGTCAGCTGATCACATGTCCATATTGATCCTGTCAGTAATCCCTTAACATATGCAGGACTTCCACACTGTGCACAGCTCCAAACACTGCAGTCCTCCTCTCCATCTCTGCGAGTTGGCTGCTCAAAATCAGTGTGGACTACAGACGGCAAACAAATATAACCGAAGCAGACAGACAAGCAACACTCAAGCCCTAGCAAGGAGATACAAAAACAGAAGGCTCCGAAGGATAATGAATCTTGTTTTTTTGTAATAATACAGATAAATAAACTTGTTGATCTGGTCATATTAAAAAGCACAGCCAGATGAACAAACCCGCAGCCCCAGGTATCTTGATGAGCACTGAGCCAAAAAACAAAAATATATTTGTTTCAATATCATGAGTCTTATTGGAAAAAAGATAAAATGAAAAAAAGAAGAAGAACTATGCAAAGCCCCAGAATGTGACTTTTTAGCCAAAAGATTATGTTCATTTTGATTGTTTATTGGGCTTGTATTTCCACAAACCTGACTTATTTGGCCTGAGGAGGGGCTTCTCCTGCTTGTTTCCATGGAACTATTGCTCCATTGGCTGTAATACATTCCATGGGATGTTCTGAAGCTTTTTTTTTTTTCTGTATCATGAAGGTGACGTGCCACCTCTACAAAGTTATATACTGTATAGGCATGCATTTTAAACAGCTAATACTGAAAAAAAATACAATAAAATTATTGTCTAATTAAATGAATATTAGAATGTAATATTCATCTCATCATGGTTTAATTTGGGCTGTGCAATCACTTTAACGCTAATGCACAGCCTGAATTTCAAATGTGGAAATGTAGAGTGTGATGTTTTTAAATTAAAGAATGGGAGAGTGCATGGTTTGATTGTAAATGGATGAATAGTTTTTTTATTTTTTATTATTATTTATTTTATTAGTTTGTTAACCTTCCCAGGGACTTAACATAGATACTAGCTTCAACTAAATCAGGTGTAAAGCTGGTGTGTTTGCACATGGTCCCTGTTCAATTAAACCACTAGACTAGACTAGACTAAACTAGACTAGACTAAGACTAGACTAGACTAGACTAACTAGACTAGACTAAACTAGACTAGACTAAACTAGACTAGACTAGACTAGACTAGACTAGACTAGACTAGACTTAATCGTTATGAACAAAAGCATCTATGACAGTCTATTGTAAATCTATCGAATTGGAAACTGAATCTGGCTTTGTTCCTTTGTTCCAGGTGAAATCGTCGGGCATGCGCGTGGGCTCCACCAAGCGCAAACGCTCCGAGCGCAAAGTCACCCGTATGGTGTCCATTGTGGTGGCCGTGTTCGTCCTCTGCTGGCTCCCATTCTACGTCTTCAATGTCACCTCAGTAACCAGCTCCATCAAGCCCACCCCGGTCGTCAAGAGCACCTTTGACTGTGTGGTGGTGCTCGGCTATGCCAACAGTTGCGCTAACCCCATCCTGTATGCCTTCTTATCGGACAACTTCAAGAAGAGCTTTCAAAACGTTCTGTGTTTGAAGAAAGTGGCCGGGCTGGACGAGATGGAGCGCAGTGACAGCAGAGCGGACCGGAGCAGGATGGTGCATGACGCTGTGATCATCGGCGCCAACTTGGAGACTCATAATGCTTCTTTGCTAAACGGCGAATTGCAGACTAGCATTTGAACTGATGTTTACATTGCTGGACAAACATTGCTGGAATATGATGTAATGGTTCCTACAGATGGCAAAGTCCGAACCTAAACCAACAATTTTTCAAGGGGGCTACCAGGGTTCACCGAGTCCCATTCAATATTGGCTCAGTGACGCAACGTTCCACTAACTTTGCACCATGGCCTTGAGTAAAACGTAGTGATTTTCAATACTGTACGAGGAGCTCATGCCAGACCATGGCATTAACGTGCTGTTCTAGCTTGCAGGGTTGAGAAGTCACGTCCAACTTGTGAGCAGAATTCATATTTTCATGGATTCTATTGGATTGTGGAAAATTCAGGTCATACAAAAAGTTTAAGTTCTTGGGACATAACCAGATCAAGTCTATAAGTGAGGTTGGATGGCTCAGTGGAGAGGAGCCAAGGAAAACAGCCCCTCTGAAACTTTGTGATAAGAAGTGGAAATAGAACATAAAATTGGACAGAAGAGACAGGCTAAAATTGTGGCATAAAATTGTACAATGACTCAAACACTGTTCTAAGAAAGTAGCTCTGGCCTTGCGAGCATGGAAACTTGTACATAAGAAGTATTTTACTCAACAATACTGTACAGTGACTGATATTTTCATAGCTTCTATATTGTAGCTTGCGTGTATATAAAGATTGTGAGTGTGCTTCACTATTACTGGCATCCTTGAATTGAGAAAGTAGACATTGACATATAGATTAAAAGTTGTGTATTACCCAAAATGGATTCTTGTGAGTTTTAAGACATGTTATAATGTTAATGTTAAAAAAAATTATCTCCTCAAAAACATTCATTTGCACATTCGTTTGAGTAACCCTTTATTTTTAGTCGATAAGTGTTTTGGTCATTTTTAAGCAGCTTTTCTGTATTTTACCTAAACAAATCTCAATTTATGCCTCTCTTTATTGTTGGCAGGGATTAAATTTGTTAAAAATAGGGACACTTGGGACATTTCTTGTATAAAACTGGGACAAATCACTGTTTTGGGATAAATCTGCTGGGACAGGGGACACAGGGCTCAAAACTGGGATTGTCCCGGGTAAATAGGGACGTCTGGTCACCCTACATCAAGTTGTAGTATAAAAGCTGCTACCTTTACCTTTAGTTTAGTAGAAATTGTCAGTTCCAGGGCTGAAATCATCCAAATGATTGTAGTGAAGGTGTATGGAATTTTAAAACACAGTGTATTGCCACAGGACATGACATGAGTGTTTTCAGTTTGACAGAAGAACACAGCGTAAACACCATAATATAGGCTCTTTAAAATGTTTTCACATATTGATATTCTATCCCTTTCACTTTAATAGGACATCAATGTTTCTAGACAGCGCAGATAAATTGTTGTTTATACGTTCATGACATTTGCCGACAAGTATTAAGAGTAAAAATCGAACTTTCAGCTGCAGTTTCTAAAGCTTACAAAGTTATACAAGATTTGTGGTGCACGCTAAAATTATACTGTCGTTGTCTGCTATCTTTTTGGTGTCAATTTAACATTAATTTTCAAGGCACACTATGTAACTTTTGGTTGGGGGTCTGTCATCTGTTTGTTTCTATGGATATGTCATTGCTTTGCCTGGAATGTTCCACAGTATGACATTAAACTATACTACTAATGTAAACTCTACCTTACATTTATTCAATTACAGGTGGTTTTAAAGCTCCAAAATACCTACAAAAACAACTGTAACTTGGTCTGGTTTGGTCTCCATGCAGATAGAAAGGTTTAATGCCAAACTGTGAAATATTCCAAATGAAGTAATAACATCTCAATGGAGACAAACCTTTAAGAAATGTTAATTACATAGTCATTAATATTTACGGTCATTTTTGCACATTAAATTACACAAAACAATACAATAGGCTACATGATTGTGTTTTCTGACAAGGCTCTGATGTTACTCACGTCAAATAGAATCTTAGGCTACGTTCAGACTGCAGCCTGAAGTGACCCAAATCTGATTTTTTTCACCCCATGCTCCTGTATCTGATCTTTTAATGACAGTCTGAACAACACAGATCCGATTTTTTCAAATACGACCCAGGCCACTTGGATATGTGCTCCTAAAAACGATACATATATGATCTTTTGACATGTGACTTCAGTCTGAACGGTCAGGTTGCATTCATTCCACCTACACGTCAGGCTCGGAGTCTCGTCATTGAAGAGACAGCGAGGTTAGCGAGTTAATTGATATTTGGGGGTATCGCTGTGTTCAGGCCAAATTGGATGGGCCTTATCGGAACCGGGCAGTTTTTGAAATGATTGCCAGAGAAATGTCCGAGCGCGGCTACAGACGTCCTGGCTCTAATGTCAACAAAAAATAAAGAGCCTGTGAACCAAATATAGGCTAAAGACTCAAACAAACAAAGCGGCCATGGACGTGTAACCTGTCCATTTTACAAAGAACTGGACCGTATTTTGAGAGACAAGCCCAGCATTTTAGGAGACTTCTGTAAACACTGAGCATGCTCACTGCGTTTGACATCATCATGTCCTCCAATGCACATGCGGGACACTTTTGGAGCATTTAAAGTTCACATACAAGTGAACTTTAAATGATTATATACAAGTCACATTTGATTGTAAATGTGAACGACCTCGCAAAAAAATCTGATTAAAAAAAAAAAACCTCAGAATTGAGCATTCTGAGCAGTCTGAACAGAGCCTTAATTACATAGTCATGTTGATGCTAGTTGCTGCGTCAAGAAATCACGCAAAACAATGTTATACAAGCTTGTGTTTTCTGACAAGGCTCTGGTGTTACATCTGTTCAAATGATTTTCAGTCACCAAAACAGCCCTAGTCCTTCAGAGTTTGCAGTGTTGAGAATCTAAAGCTTTGTCTCCCGTTGAAATTACAGGGAAATCAATGTAATGTAGGCCTGTCTTTTCAATGGAGACACTCTTACAAATACTGCAAGGGCATATGTTCCTGTTTTTAACTGAAAATTGAATTCATTTTGAATAGTTTGCCGTGTTCCAAACTAATTCCTTACCTTTTAAACACACTCCCAGTACTTCTGGGTTTGCAAGCAGCACATAGCAGTCTAAATTTGATCTTGAGCTGCTTTTACAACATTGGGGGCATTTTTATATTTTGGGAAAGAAGGTTTTCACCACCACTTCATTCAAGGATGCCATTTTTGCAAAGAACACTCTATCTTGTTAAGATGTGGTATTAACACATTTTATACATGTACCACTGTAAAAAAAAAAAAAAAAAAAAAAGAGAGATTTCTGCTGGGTAAGTGTGATGAAACGTACAGTATTTTCTGATGTCGGTGATAGCGGCTCCACTTCTCCATGTGTGAAGACGTCCGCACAAAGACTGTGAGCTACATAGAAGGGGTACATTGAGTAGCACATTACAGTTCACAGTGGGGGGAGCGCTTCGGGCCATACGCTCAAAATATTCTGTCAGAATTTCCTATGAATGGGCCGTGTCATTTTAATAGCACTCAGCTTTAATGAGGAATACGCTGCTGAAGTGGCGAGATGTGTTGATTATGCTGCGTTATTTTTAGAATGTTAATTCCATTTTTGAAAATACAGCCATGAATTAAAAAAACCCATGAGCATAGCAGTCAAGCCCTTGTAAAAAATTGCAGGGATTACAAGTATTTTTCCTGATGATTTTTGAAAGCCAATGCAGAATGGAGCTCAACACTTACCATCAATTTCCCATTCATTTTTCCCATAGACTTATAATAAAAAAAAATAAAAAAACAGGAAACAAATGACCACAAGCAAGAGCTATAATTTTATATAAAATTAGTTTCTCACTTTGTAAAGCGCTACATTATTAAAACATTACACCAAAGTTTAGGATTTAAATGTATTTTTTGTACTGAAAACAACCCTGTTATGGATATACTGCAGGTCTCTCAGTTACCACTAGGGTTGTCAAAAGTATCGAAAGTCAGATACTAATTGAGACTAGATACTTATTTGATCCAGTATCAATACTAAAAGAGTCACATTCACAGGACAGAAATATACTTTTCCTGAATAGCTTTAGAATGATCTTGAGCTGTATCAGAACAAGTATAAGAGCGCAGAGACTAGTATACACCCATGGACCAGACACAGATATAACTCATGGTAATATAAAAGAAAGTAGTGTTTCTATTATCATTGTGGTATCAGAATGAGTATCGGATGTATTCCTTAGTATCAAAATCAAGCTTTTTAGTAAAGTGACAGCAGTACTTACCACATCGATAGTTTCATCATTCCTTAATCATTCCTATCATTCCTTAATACGTTTTTGAATTTTTCGAAAGCCTACAGGGAAAACAAATGAACCAGAGAGGACTTCAAAAAGAATAACATATTGAGTACAGATATAGTTCAAAGTTTGTATCATTGTGTAGTATAAATTTCTCAAAATTGTTGTAATATATAGTTATTGTTGGATCACAAGTGGAAAGCACCTTTTATATTTTATTATAGGTCCTATACTGTGAAAAATTGACTCTTGTGAGCTTTAAACTGTGTTAGAATGTTGTTACCTCATCAAAAACTGACTTGGAGTTGTTTGAGTAATCCTTAACTTTTTGTCTGTCTGCATCTTTAAAGCTCAAAATGCTCTGTTCCACCTTGTGATGTCATGAAGCAGTAGTTAAGTTAAGTTAAGTTAAGTTAACAGCTCCTTTTACCTTTTGTTTAGGAGAGATTTGAAATTCCAGGGCTGAAATTATCCAGACGATTTTAGCAAAGGTGTATGGACTTTAACACAGTGGAGCACTTCCTGTATGACCACGTGAAATCACAAGAGCATTTTCTGTTTGAGAAAAGAACTCAGCTTAAATATGCAGAGTTTGTGTGATCAAGATCAAGATCAGAAAATAGTGTAATATGAAGCCTTTAATCATTATGGACCTCATTTGATAATCCCCCTAAATGATCCTCTCATCTTCCCATGTCCCTCTTTCCAGATCTTGCATCAGGCTCTTGGTCATGCCTGCCTTTTTCCACTCTAAGTTATATAACATGCCAACAAACAGATGGTGCTATATACAGTACAGTTTGCCGTAGTTTGTTTTTTTCCATTGCCCTCAGATGAACTGGCTGAATTCACACCTGGCTGCTGTGACAGATGGAGCGTCCATCTTGGTGTCCTCCCCCATATGTCCAGTGTCAGATTCTCCACGCCAAGTTAGATTTATGAGTGTCTGTTGGGTACTATAAACTAAACAATGTTATTCATCCTATCACAGCAATGTGCAATGCCTTTTTGGACAATTTAAACAATGGTGGGAATGGCAGGGCAAGGCAAGTTTGTTTGTATAACGTAATTTGTACAAAAAGTAATTCAAAGTGCTTTACAGAATAAGTAAGACATAAAAATCACAATACAAAATAAATCAAAATCAATCAAAATAAATCAGTCAAAACAAATAATCATTATGAAATTAAAAATAGAGAGGGACATTAAATGAGAGAGAAGAGTGCAGAATGAAAACCTGTGCAGCTAAATAGCAACATTTTGAGCCTGGATTTAAACAGAGTCAAAGTAGAGGCCTGGCTCATGTTCAGGAAGACTTTTGCAGGTTTTAGATGCATGAATTTGAAACGCTGACTCCCCATGTTTTGTCCTGACTCTAAACACGCCCAACTTATGGTCACGTGTCAAATCATCTGTGTCACGGCACAGAAAGTCTGCGCCGCCGTGAACCCCCCCAACCCACGTGCACCTCCAAAATTTTCGAAATATGTGTTGAAGTGACACAGACAGCAAGGAAAAGCGACGCAAACAGTAAGGGCTGTGATTGGTCCTCTCTACATACATTTCTGGTACTCCGCTTTCCCGCTTCATTTTGTAAAGGCAAGCGCCATTTTAAAATCCTAGCTTCCTAGCGTTGTGGCGGTGAATTACTTTGTGGCGCATAGACCTCGGCGCAGATCCATAAATCTGAAATGACGGCGACAAGACAACAGTGCCAGTTTGTGTTGAGTCGACGCAGAACTATAATTTTTGCTTTAAAGTCTATTCTCTGAGTCACACGAGTGCAGAGACCTGAGCACAGAACGCATGCGCTTGCACTTCCTAGTTCGAGTCAGGACCTGAGCTGCAGCGTTCTGGATGTTCTGCAGCGTCTCACAGCTCGTTAGGAGAGGCCAGTGAGAGGTCGTTACAGTAGTCTAACCTACTGGAGACAAACGCATGGATAAGTATCTCCACATCTGCTTTAGACAGTAAACCTTTGATTTTTGCGATGTTTTTAGATGGTAAAAGGCTGCAGTTGTTATTGATTTGATGTGGCTGTTAAAGTTCAAATCTGAGTTCATTATTACCCTTAGATTTGAAGGTTTTAGAGAGAGAGACTGGAGATGACCACTGACACTGTCTCTTTGTTTCTGTGGACCAAACACTATGACTTGTGTCTTGTCTGAGTTTAGCTGGAGAAAGTTGTGTTGCATCCACACACTGATCTGTTGGATGCAGTAGCAGAGTGAGCCCACTGGTCCATAATCCCCCGCTGCCAGTGAGACAAAGATCTGAGTGTCATCTGCAGAGCTGTGGTAGAAGTACAGTTCAGTTCCTAAGGTTAAGGTACACGTCATTGTCCGCATAGTGAAATAGATCCTCTGCATTTGCATCAGTGGTTGAAGAAGTACTCAGTTTTGTTACCTGAAAAGTACAGGGCGAACATGCATACACACAAAGGCCCAGGAATCAAATCCAGAACCCTCTTACCGGCAAATTACTAACTCCATTAAAAGTAAACACATCACATAAAAAAGTTAAGGTACTCAAGTACTCCTTTCAAAAGTATTTCACATGGATTTTGAGAAGTATTAAAGACAAAAATGCAGTAATGTTTATGATTTAAGCTGATTTATGGTCAGTGACTAATTTGATTTCTCAAAGCTGGGACTTGAACTAAACCCTTTCTTCAGGATTTCAGCGTAAATGTGCTAAAAGTAACGCACCATTAAATTCAAATCTCAACCCAAGAAAAAATACTTCTAATTTTCAATCTTTTTGGTACAGGTACAGTTATTCTTTAATTTCCTTATGCATTCTGAGCATCCTGATTATTCACAGGGATCAGACACGTTTTGCTTAAATACACGACCGTTTAAAGTTCCTATAGTACGCAAAATTGACTTGTGTTTTCGATTAGGAAGCAACATTATAACAGAGATCAGAAAGTCAGAGTAATATGAGTCCTTTAAGTACAGCACTTTTTTGTACTTCTTTCTTTGGCACCACTACATTAAAATTACCCCCAGACCAGCGTTCATCCAGAAAAATATGGCTAATACGTGTAGAACCAATCAACACATTCAAAATGTTGAAGGTGCTAATAATGCCCTAAATTTTACACTCAAGGTACTTAGCGCCTTTCAGCTGGCGGTGTAGAACTCTCCGCCAGCTTAATTAGTTTCGCTCCCTCTGTCTTTTGTATTCCTTGCCCTTCTTTCTTCCCGCTCAATATTGTTTACTGGATTCACCGCTGCGAACGGTAGCTGAGCCCACACGGTGTCTGGCACTTAATACATGACCGGGCACATTTAATGGACAAGATGGAACACTGATGCTGGCTAAGTCTTGATAAAAAACACCTCTGTTACAAGTTCAAATAGAGAGGTGAAGACAGTCACAAATAATACTTTCCAAGAACATGTCATTGAAGGTTAATAAAGAAGCCATTGTGGTCTGTGTAGGCGTTTAAAAGTGCCAGTACTACATGTTTTTCCCCATGGATTTGAGCAAAATCTGTCTTGCCCCAGTATAAATATAATATAAAAGTATAGGGTGACTACATTTTCAAAATCAAAAACTGGGACATCCCTGGTTTGGGTTAATTGGTAATAATAAAATTGTGAAACAAGTGCGTAATTAAGTAAAACTGTAATGCACTTGGTACTAATGTATCTAGTCCTGGTTTAGTCCCGGTCTAGTACCTTATAGTACCTGGTTTAGTCCCGGTCTAGTACCTGGTTTAGTCCCGGTCTAGTACCTGGTCTAGTACCTGGTCTAGTCCCTGTGTAGTACCTGGTCTAGTTCTGGTTGAGTCCCTGGCTAGTACCTGGTCTAGTACATGATCTAGTTCCGGTCTAGTACATGATCTAGTTCTGGTTTAGTCCCGGTCTAGTACCTTGTGGTGCCTGGTTTAGTCCTGGTCTAGTACCTGGTTTAGTCCTGGTCTAGTACCTGGTCTAGTCCTGGTCAAGTCCCTATCTAATACCTGTTGTAGTTCTGGTCAAGTTCTGGTCTAGTACCTGGTCTAGTCCTGGTCTAGTACCTTATAGTACTTGGTTTAGTCCTGGTCTAGTACCTTAGAGTACCTGATTTATTACTGGTCTAGTTTAGTCCCAGCCTAGTCCCTTATAGTACCTGGTTTACTCCTGGTCTAGCATCTTATGGTACCTAGTTTAGTACTGGTCTAGTACTTGGTTTAGTCCCAGTCTAGTACCTTACAGTACCTGGTTTAGTCCTGGTCTTGCACCAGGTTTAATCCTGGTCTAGGACCTGCATAGTCACATTTTGTGTTTTGGTCATTTTTAAGTAGCTTTTCTGTATTTTACCTAAACAAATGACAGTATATGCCTCTCTTTACTGTTCTTAGGGATCAAATTGGTCAGAAATAGGGATAACTGGGACATTTCTTGTTTAAAACTGGGACAAATCACTAGTTTTGTATAAATCTGCTGGGACAGGGGTCTATTCAAACATTCCACTTTTCCTACATGAATAATATTAATGTGATAGCCTATTATACATTGCGCTCGCAGATATCATAAGATGCTTGGGCCGGTGCAAAACACTTGATCAGAGAATACTTAAGGCCACATAGGATATCGGACAGTGGAAAAATGTCCTAACTGATCGCCGTGGGAAACAGTCATACCATTTTTAAAAAGAGCATAAGTCAGCCTTCGGGAAAATATCTAATCTAGAACAGAGGCTGGATGGGCCTTTTGTGCTTCATTCATTTTGTCATGTCTGCGGAGAACACCATATAACCTAAATAAATAACCAATCAAGTTCATTGCACTAGCTCAGGGCTTTTCAAATTGGGTGAATGTTAGCCTCCCCTTAGAGTAGGTAAAGACAGCCAAGTGCACGTTAGCATGATAGTTGCTGTTAATATTGCCATGACGGGCGGCAAAGACTCCAAGCTGGTCTCTGAAAGTTGGGAAAAGCACTTGACCTGTAAATTGGCTTGGTGGTCTCCATGGAGATATACACATTTAATACCATACTGCGGAACTAACAGATGACAGACCCACCAAAT